TTTTTTTTTTGTAAAAGCAATTTTGCTTGAACCTTGTTTTTTGTGATGGCCTATTTAAGAGAACAGAGTGTGACTATGCTATTTTGTTGCCTGCTCAGGGGAAAATGCTCCAGAAACTGTTGTGCTGTTGAACACAGTTACAAGGACATCACTATGGGAAACATTCAAGTGGTTTGCTTGTTTTGAAAAAGGTGAAGTGTTGACTGATGACAAACATTGTTCTGGATGCCTGTCAACTTCATGAATGAATGAAAATGTAGACTTGTAGTGCATTTGGAGTTCATTCCACCAGGTCAGACTGTTCATTAATTTTCTATTTAGAAGTTCTGAAAAGATAGCATAACATTGTGTGAAAAAAAGTTCTGATTTGTGCAGTTGGGGGACTGGTTTTGCCACTATGACAATATACCTGCTCAAGCAGCCTTCTCAGTTAACCGTTTTTGGCAAAAAAAAAACCCAGCATGCCCCTCTGACCCCACACACCTTACTCACCTGACCTCGCTCTGTGCAACTTCTTTTTGTTTCCATAAAAGCAGAGGGACATGAAAGGACAGTAGATAGATGATGTAGAAGAGGTGAAGAATAGCTTTGAAAAAAAAGTTTCCAGGTTTTTGGGGAGTACCCCTCGTATGATCGAAAGCAAATGGTATTCAGAAGATTTCCAAGCTGAACTGAAGACACTAACGGAAACCAAAGCGCTAGGAATTGATGGCATACCAATTGGAATGTTTCAACAAACTGATGTAGCACTGGGAGCATTCACTCACCTGTGGCAAGAAATTTGAAGGACAACTACTTGGCTAAGTGACTGGAAAAGATCCATATTTGTAACCATTCCAAAGAAAAGTGACCTAACAGAATGTGTAAATTATAGACTAACAATGATATCGCACCCAAGTAAATTTTTGCTAAATATCATTCAATAATAGTTGCAGCAGTACATGTACGGATACGGCCATAGGTCGGGCAGACCAGATTAAGAAGAGGAAGTGGTACAAGTGATAGCCTTGCTGACATCAGATGAATCTTGACTGAAAGCAGTGAACACTGGAAAGATTGCTTGTGTTTTATTGACTATGCAGAGGTATTCTACTATGTAGACCATAACAGACTATGAGAAAAACGAGAATTCTAGAACATTTCATTGTGCTCTTCAACTTTCTCTTGAAGAGAAAGTTGTTCAAATAAAACAATAGAACACGGCATGGTTTTTAAATCAAGAAAGATATCCATCAGGGAATCCCTCAACATACATGTTCCATCTGCATGCCAAGGAAATAATCAGAGAAGCTGATAAGGACACAACATCAGGATTAGAGGAAGGTTTATTAACAACAGAGAACACTGCTTCCTGAAAGTGATGAGGACTGGAAGGAAGCACTTGATGAAGATCCAGGACGGCAGCCTTCATTATGGACTCCAACTTTATGTAAGGAAAACCCACATCCTCACAACTGGACCAATAAGAACATCATGATAAAGAAAGAAATGATTAAAGTTGTTAAGGATATCACCTTCTTTGGATCAACCATCAATGCTCCTGGGAACATTCATCAAGAGATCATTTTATGGATTGGGCAAATCTGCTGCACAAAACCTTTTAAAAGGTTTGAAAACCTGAATGTTCCTTTGCAGTCTAAGGTGGCCCCACCGAGCGAGCACCGGATTGTTATATAAGTGACATTGGCTTTCTGAAGTTGGCGCCTGGACCACTGACATTATCAGTACTGACTAGAAAGATTCGGGGGATTCATTATGTCTACAAAATTTATAGATGCACCCAAAACATAACTACTGTGGCATTTCCTTTGTCTTCGCTCTCTCTTTGGCGTCTCACCCCTGCTCACTACCTGAAATGCTTGGGGCTCTCTATCAGAGACACTTCCCAGTTGGTCTCCTGCTCTGTGCCTGCAGCAGAAGCAGCAGCTGTGGCACCAGTGCCTATTAACTCTTTTCTCATCAACCTCTGTTGTAGTTTGTTAGTGTATTAAATCTAATTTTCTCCTCCTTTCTGTAATAGCGGCTCTCGTGGTCTCTTATACCTTTTAAGTTAGCTAATTCTCTGGCTCTAGATGAAGGGCAAGCTCTAACATTGCTTTATCTGGCTACCCTAAACCCCTTTCACCTCATTTCCTTTGATTTCCTGTTTCCTACAAACTTCACCTCCCTCAGTAAATCTGTTGATTAAAGGTCTTGCTCTGTAACCTTGTCTCTGAAAGCCCAAACACCAACCATGATAGTCGATTCTGGGACTGGTCTTCAGTACTTTTAAATATGAAGCAAAGTTATTTACATTAGGACAAGAACCAGGAGGCAATGCTATGCAAAGATTGTGACAATATTGTAGGAGCAGTTTTCAGGGTAGACCTATGATCTACATGGATAAAATTTATCAAAAGAAATACAAAACACTCCTTAATTTGAAAACACCATGTCCAAATAATGTCCGAAATATATTTTTTGTGAAACCAAAACACTACTAGGGGTTTCAAAAGTTAGTGGAAAGATAGTGCAGGGGCCAGACCCACAGTCAAATGGTCCTTTGGAACTCTGTGTGCAATTATTGAAAATTAAGAAGATGGGCGGAGTACAGGAGACTAATCTCCATTCTCATGGGAAGAGAGAAGGAGACGAGTCCAGTTTAGTCAATAATAGGATTTTATAGTTCTGAGGCCTGCAAGCCTCTTGTTACACTCTTGTTACACGTGCACAAAAAATGGGCAATGGGTTCATCTTGAATCTCCCAATCCCGCCAGGGGAATATCTCAAAGGAAACACCAGGTATGCAGGGACAAATGGTGCTAATCTCTCCTTAAGCATATGGGACAAAGGGAATGGATGTTCTTAGAGATAGGCATCTTTTAAATATGTGAGGACCCAGGCCTAGTAGGACACAGCTTTAAATGTGATGTGGAGCAACAGCCTTCCTGAAATCGGTGCACTGCAAAGTTCCCCCAGATTTTAGACAGTAGAGGTGGGTGCCTCACGCTAGGACTGGCAAGCCAAGCCCTATGGTCACAAGTGGGAGCAGGCCACATACACTTCCTGCCAGGTCCTCAGTTTCCCACAAGGTAGAATTAAATGATAATGGATTGTTTCCACAAACGTTTTTGAAGCCTCATTGGGTTGGCTACTTTAATATTATAAAAATGTTATCCAATTATTTACAGCAAAGTGAATTAACTAAAATAACTTTCATTTCTTAAAGAATAGGTCCATGCTTTTCTGTGCTTATTATTAAAATAATGTAGGCTCTAAAAATTATAGTTGTTAGGACTATATGTCTTGAATAATCATGGTCTGAAAAAAAGAGTTTGACATTCTCATCTTTCATACAGAATTTATATTATAAAGATTCACACAGAACTTTTGGGAATAGTCAGTGATTATTAATATCTATGTGTTTTTATATGTATATATATATAGGCTTAATAATAAAATCTGCTGTATATATATATATATATATATATATATTTGATGCTACAAAATCATATTGCATTGTTCTATGGCGAGAAGCGTGACAGAGGAAAACCATGCTTATTCCTTTGCATTTAACACGGTAGAGATCGGACTCTCAAGAGTCACAAAATAATTTTATTCTACTTTAAATGTTTTATCCACAAAAATTTTCATTATAGATTAATGCTAATTTTATTTGTTTGGTTTATTTTTTAAGGGTAATAAGAAAAAAATTGCTTGACAATAAATTTCTCTACATCCCTTCTGGGCTCTTGTTAGAGTGGCTCATTGATTTGTCACACCTGATGAAGTGCTTTCTGTGATGTTTGGTGACTCCCAACAATGACCAAGTGGCATTTGGGAACAGCATGCCTTGAAAAACAGTACATGTTTTCGGTCTAGATCCTTCTGAGATTTCTTAATCATGCCCAAGTCCATTGTTTCAATAGGCTTTTCTCAGTAGCTGGCAGTAGGCAGTTTATAGTCCTAAACACACCCAGTACAATGTGCAATCCTAGGAATTTTAATTATGTTATTTTCTATTAAAATTGAGTAAGTACTCCCAACTGACATGGATACAAAGAACATTATAACTGAGGCCTACATTCCTGTTCTAGGAAGTAATTGCCTAAATAGTCTTTACTTTAATACTGTTTTGTAGGATTAAAACTGATTATCATATGAATCACAGCCCTGCATTTTAATTCATTCTTTAGTGAGTATGTCAAATCAATGGGCCATTCGAAAAAGAAGAAAATGAGCAATAAGGAAGATTCAGGTAAATTTACTATCAAATAATTTATTTCTCTTATTCTATAATCTCTTGTTGATCTTTATTTTTACAAATGAATTAGACAATGGAGACAAGACTGCAAACAAACATTAATACTGTTATCTTCTCTTAGTAGCCTCAATATTATTGATTTTGAACTCAGTAATATTGGTAAATCAATGGTCAAATAAATTGAATAAATTATCATTTGGATATATTAATATATTAATTAGCATCAAGATCATACACATAAATCTGCATTACAATTCCTGATGGTCAATTACTATATCGTATTTTGAATATATACATATGCCAGAATATTGTGAATATATAATTAGCAAAAAAGGAAATCAATTTTATTCAAGGATGATACCACTTTAGTCCAGGATATAATATTCAAGCCTTTCAATAGGGAAAAAAATCCTGTATTTTAAGCTTCTTTTTCTGTTTTGATTAGTCATTTCCTTTTTTGGGGTGGGTGTTGTTTCCTACTCATTTATAAACAAATCAATCAAGGTAATACTACCTGTCAGCAACTTTGAATTTGAATAAAGTTATTCAGATATTTTCACACCTCATGCCTGCATTTCTCTAGTCATTATATTCATGAGGAATCATATGGAAATTCATATGGCAAATAAAATATGAAAAAATGCTCATTGATTTAATAAATTTGGATAAGCCCACAGGCCAGCCAGCTAATTAATGCATTATTTCATCCAGTCTTTACAATATCCAAGTAATCCTGTAATAATTTCTACTTTTAAAAAAACATATGGCATGCTTCACGAATTTGTGGGTCATCCTTGCACAGGGGCCAGGCTACTCTTCTCTGTGTCGTGCCCATGTTAGCACATGTGCTGCCGAAGCCAGCACTCCACCTTCAATGATAAAGAACTTCATGGGGAATAAATAACTTGTCCGTAGTCAAATATTAAGTGGGTACTGGGGTCATGATTTAGTACTAATGTTTTCTTCTGGACCTCTGTTCTATTACATAAAATTTTCTATATGCATTTAAAACTAAAGTTTATATAATTGAAACAACTATTTGATGATCATTTTCTAATAAACTCATTTCATATTTAAAGTAAATATTAGAAATATGACTACCATGTCTCAGCCAATGACTTTGTAAGCAAGTAGTGGCAGAAGTAGCTGCTGTCAGTAGTGATTATTTAACAACCTTTTCGCTAAAGGACATCTGTAATTTCAATCATCTGGTTGGGTGGGTTTCTGGGATCGTTTAACTCAGTTCTTGCTTCTCAGCGCTGAAAGATTCACACAGCAGAAACACTTTTGTAATCCAAGTACCTTTGATGAGGGAAAGTGAAGTTTCGGGTAGTACAGTCTCAGAGTACACACATCCCTTGAAAGTGTGTAAGGCCACATGGTGGCAGGCTGTGGGAGAGTTCGGGTACAAAAATGGCCACTTGGCAGGCTGATGCCTCTATTTTATGAATTACTGTTTTTATATATGTACACATGTATGCTCATACCTCTATCCAGAGTTTTGCTTTCTAGATCTTTCCTCTGTTTCCTTTTACCTTCTTCCTGCTGCACCACCACACTCGCCCATCTTCCTCCTCTTAGTAATTCCTCTCAGCTAGATTGCTGTTGCTTCCACACCCCAAGATCCCTACATCCTCCTCGTTGGTGATTTTACTTCCTTAGTGACTCCTGTCTGTGGTGTTACTTACTCTCCGCTCCCTTCCCGCCTCCTTCTCCCCGTTCCTCTGTGACTGTCGGTCCTGTTGCTTTCTCCTCGAGTTTGCTTCCCGTGCCTATCGATTGTAAGCAGGCAACCCAACAATAACAGAGACCAAACAAAAAAGAAAGCAAAAGACTGAATAAAAAGAGAGAACAAAATGATGGTAATAACTAGCAAACAAATAAACAAAAAAGCATACAGAATTCCAGGTCTGCCTGCTGACCTTTATGACCCTTTCCCCACTGGTCCTGGGTGAATCCAGAAACTGCCCTCCTAGCCTGAAATCTATCTTGGGGCTCCTCAGGGGCTTTGTTATGTATATGTATTTAGAAGACAATACATTGAGGTAGTGTAGGGACTTCAGGGCTCTGCTCAGGCCCTCCCTTAACGAAAGAACACTTAATTATAACACCTGGCATTCTGTGATGCTCACCGTCACAGCACAATTGCTGAAGACAAAAGGGTGCATAAACCAAAGTGATGAAGAAAGCGGATGGTGCTCATCTATCAAAAGATATAATGTCTAGGGTCTTAAAGGCTTGAAGTTAAACAAGTGGCCATCTAGCAGAGAAGCAACAAGCCCACATAGAAGAAACACACCAGCCTGTGCAATCATGAAGTGTCATTAAGACCAGGTAACAGGCATTAGAAGACCGATAACAAACAAACAAGCAACAAAAAGAAAACATTGTTGAGAATGAGCAGGGTTGGAGCAGACCCCAAACCCATCTGTACACAGGGGGACATGCCCTCACAGAAGGGTCACAAGGAAGAGATGAGTCAACCAGGGTGCAATATAGCACTGATCAAACACACAATGTTTCTCTGGTTCCTTGAGACTTCCTCACCCCCCACTATCATGATCCCAGTGCCGCCTTTCACTGCGGGCTAGACCAGAACATGAGCACAGGTACAGATAAAAGATAAAAGCTCACAACACACAGAATCCAGGAACAGGAATAGGAGTGGCAACAGCAGGAGGGTAGGGGGAAGGTGGGGCCAGGAGGGGAGGAAGAGGGACTGATCACAATGATTAATACATAACCCACCCCACCCTGAGGGGGGTGAACAAAGAAACCATGGGGGAAGGGAGAGAGCAGTTGGTGTAAGATATGGAAATAATAATAATTTATAATTTATCAAGGGGTCATGAGGCTGGGGAGCGGGGAGAGGAGCTGATACAGAGTGTTGTAAGAGCCGTAAGAGTCCCCAATAAATGATCTTTTAATTAAAAAAAAAAAGAAAGAAAGAAAATGGCCACTTCAGGGGAGCATGAAACATGGAAAAATGGCTGGAAAGTAGAGTCCCGGAACCAAAAATGGAAAAATACTGGGGGAGAGAGTGACAGAGAGTGCATGCCCTCTGTGCCCGCTGGTCACAGGGGAGAAATCCCACCCTCCAACCTGCAAGAGAGCAACTTGAGAGAAGGGCATGGTTTGCCCTCAGTCTGCTATTTATCTCCTCCTATCCCCACTGGCTGTGGTGGCATGGTTGAGGGTATTGGCCAAGCTTAGCGGCTGAGTTCAGGTGTTCATATGTCATGTAATGAAACTGGTGCCTAGTGTGGGTGGGCCCAGGTTGATTTCCACCTGGGCCTAGGTGACCTGGTTCTGATCACATTCAGCTTTGGATGGTTCACAAAGGTGTGTAATATGTGCCTGATTTCTTTGCAACCCCTTCATTGTGGCATGGTCAGCTAATTTTTGTTTAGCATAAGCATTTGGTGGAAACAACCCCCTTTATCCCTAATATTTCTACCTTTCAATCTCAGCAGCCCTTCTTCACTTTAAAAAAAAAAAAAATTAGTAACAGGCCTCATAATTCATTTTTGTCTGATATAGAGAAACCAATATTAATTTATTGAGGGTAAGATTCTTGAAGTGCCCCTTTGGAAATTATATACATCTGCTTTTACTCTACAATGTATGCGTCAATTTGCTGCATTGTTAAAAGCTAGAAAAACAATATGCTTTGGAAAAGAAACCCAGTTAGGGAACTAGAGCCCTTGGCATCTAATCCAGATTGTGTCTCCCCCTGGATGAAACACCCATGGATCCTTACATAAAATAATTGGGTCTCTACCCCTGCAAAAAAAAAAAAAGAGGCTAGTCTCCTGAGAGCAAAGAGAAACAACTGGTCATTTCATCATGTCCGTCCCTCTCAGGATGCTTGAGGACTTTCGCCTCTAGTAATTGTTAGTTGTCTATCTGTATCAGACTGAAGATGACTGAGGATTTATACCAAGCTATTCTCCCTCACTTTTAAAATTGTTATTGAATACAGCTCTTCATAAAGAGAAGGCATGGGAAGAGAGTGTAGAACTAAGCAGAATTGAAAAAACATGAATCTCAATTGACACATACTGAGAACATGTGTTAAATATACATCATTCCCGGACAAGTATGTGTTTAATTGTAAAATCAAAAACAAGCACTATTGCTTCCAGACAGAAGTAAATAGGTCATCTACAGGGGCTCAAAATGGACAGCAAAATTCATCAATTCCTTATCAGCAACACTGAATTTGAACAAAACTTTACAGGTCATTTCACTTTTAGTGAACGCATTTTTTCGGTCATATACCCATAAGAAACCCACAGGCAGTCGCTCCTGTGTAGCCTGTGTGGGGGAGGAAACAACGAGCACACAGCTCCAAAAATTATTCCATCGATGTCTTTCCTGTGTTCACATGTTGTTCTTATGAAAATCATTTTTTCTCTTTGCAATATTGACAGGGAATATTTTAATATTTTATATATGAGAAAAACATAATATAAAACTTTCTGTGTAGTATGATGTGAGTTTAGTAAAATAATGCTTTTATATAAGAATATATATACATATACTCACATGTCTAGTATATCAAACTATCCAAAGGAGCTTCACAAAATTATGAAATAATTCCACTACCTTTTGATTCTATTTTTCAATGAACCTTTAAAGAATAGTCTTATTGACATATAATTCACATATCATACAACTCAAGTGGTTAATAACATTAAATAAAGCATTTTGTAACCATTACTACAATCAGTTTTAGAACATTTCCTTCTTTTTGTGCTCATTGTTGTCAGCTCCCATTTCCCCCTCAACCATCCCTGTCACACCCTGAGGAAACTATTAATCCACTTACTGTCTCTACGTATGTACCTATCATGGATCTCATACACAGGAAAACACACAAAATAAAAACAGAAAGCAAAACAATCCCAACAATGGCAAAATAAAACAGAGGAAACCCTCAATTGAAAAGACAGCGGAAAATATTAAAGACTGGAAAAAAATGAAATGGGTCAAAAGTGATGCAAAATTATAAGGCAGTACATTGTAACATGACAACTTCTGCAATAAACCACTTTAAAATGCACTCTGCCTGGTAGCAAGGCTATCACAGCCCTGATCTATGGTCAGAGGAGTCTCCAGAGGCTTAATCCACTGGGCATCCCTACAAATGGATTTTAGGCTTTCCCTATCATCCATCTGCAAACTTTCATGTCAGCCATTTACGATCTTCAGCTCACACAGGCTGATGTGCTTCCTCCATGTGGGCTCAGTTGATGCTTCACTTAGATGGCTGCTTGTTTTAAGACAAGCCTTAAGACCCCAGAAACGATTCGTTCTGATAATGAGGCATCATCTGATTTCTTCGCATTTTGCTAGAGTACCCATGTATTTAGTGAAGGCAAGTATTGAGTAGGGCCGGTTCACAAGAATGAATGGTTCTTAGATTAAGGCTACAAGTAAGTGTGAGCTCAAAAACCATTCCTATATTTATGGTTTATATATGTCCCTGGTTCACATTAGAGGAGCCCCCCCATTTTATCTCTCTCTCTCTTCTTCTCTGAAGTGTCATTTATTTTCTTTCTGAAGTGTTTTTATTTATTTTAAATAATATTTTATTGACATATCTTACTCATTCCAACATATCCCTCCCTTCCCTTACAGTTCTGTTGTTCAGTTCCATCCGGTGGCTCTATACAACCATCAAGGTTATCAACTCCTCCCCCCGCCCCACCGTACTGACCATACCTCAGGGAAGCCTTCCTCCCGTCGGTGTCTCTGAAGGTCATCTATCTTGACTACCAGGTACCAAGCGATCTTAACTGTACAAATGGACATACGAAAGTCTAACATGGTCCATGAGGTATATCATGTGCTGACCATAA